ATTTAATTATTAGAATGGTATACATTTATACTATTAGAAAATTTCAAGCGATGGTAAATGAAAAAAAATCGATATTTACCATGTTTATAAATAATTTTCAAAGAGTCAAAATATTTAAATATAACTGTTTTGCGTGTATAAAATGATAATGTATACATTTGGGGTAAATTGAAGTAGAAACAGTAATACGTTTTTGAGTTATACAAATAAACAAATTCGATTATGTTGAAAACTGGTTTTGAGTAAAATTTTCCATTTTTTTTTTAATATTATGTTAGTTTTCCTCAGTTATTTTAGAAAGTACTAGGAATTTTTTACTTTTAACTCCACGAAGTATCAACTAGATTTAATTTGCTACTTACTAGAAATATACCCCTAAAGTTGAAAATCGAAGAATGATATCGTTATAAAAGTGTCTAGAGAAATAAAAAACACACATTATAAAATTCGATATAATTTCCGCTCCACTCAGAATTTAAAATAAACTTTTGTATGAATGTAGTTTTTAAAAAATATTATGAAATTATAATATAATTCATTTATTTAAACTTTAAACTAAACATTATAATAGGTACCTCAGTTGTTTTTTTATTTTTTACACAAGAAATTATCATAATAATATGCATATTACGTACTTATACTTACTTTGACCTAATAAGTCAATAATCAATTATTTTAAATATATTATTAAAATTTTAATTCAATCATCCATTTTTAAAGTTAAATTTAGGCTTCCAGCTTTTAGTTCCCAAAACCTTTTCCCGTGTTCTATGTTCATTTTAAAAATTGTAATTATTTGACCAACCAACTAATCGCTCTATATTTTTATAATGGTGTGGAATTGGGAAATGAGGAGGAGGATTCGTCATTTTTTAGTATTTTATGTAATTAATAAACTTTTTTTGATCTTTTTCACATATGTTAATTTTATGATGTATGTATCTATAAAGCACTAATGATTTATTTGAATTTTATACTTTATCATACATAATAAATTGATATATTATTATTTAAGCACATGTTATTCAAAACCCCACAGTAGATATGAGTAATAGATCGTGGACATGATATAGTAAACACGAAGAAAAAATAATAAATAATTTCGAAAAGTTTCCCGTCTAATTATGTTATTATTATATTATTCCACCGCAGTATTGCTCATCATCTAGATTAAAATATTGTAAACTATATATTTGTTTCTATTTTATTTGAATAATAAAGGGTTATCTAAGATAAATTATCTAAATAATATCACGCGACAAGAAATGTGTAAATTGTTATATATGTATGTATTACGCATAATTGGATTGTTCCCTATTCAAATATAAATAAATTATTACTTTAGTTTTTTTTTTTATATAAAAACATTATATAAATTAATTTTTTTTAATTTATTCAAACGTTTTTAAAAATAATTTTCCACAATTATTCATTACCTATAATTTTTTCTGCCTTATTCATAAAACAATTCTATATTTATAACTTATACGTATGAACATTTTCATCTCACGTTCAATATAGTTGATCCTATCCTATCATATACTTTTATGGTTATAAAAGTCAACATACCTATATACATTTGTATATACATAATATTTAATACAAATAATAAATATTTCAAATTCATTACATTTTTATAAGTAAAAAATATATAGATATATCTATATTTTAAATTAATTTATTGAATCGTTATTGAACTTATTGCTTCTGTTGAATATTATTTTAATAATATTAAAGGAATATTAAAAAATATTTAAAACGAAAAACATATATAACTACACATACACCGGGTCAGATTCTATAAAATCCAAGCCAAGCAAAATCACTGATCAGATCCTTTTTTAAACAAGTTACGAGTCAAGAACGGTTCGGACATTTCCTAAATTCAAAGTTGATAAGACCTTTTATTTGATAATAAAATTCGGACTGGGTTGAATTTCTATGAAGTTGAAACCAAGCCAAAATGGACTTCAACAGAAAAATTTAAAACCATGTTCCACGTTTGTTTTGTTAGTATTAACATGTATTTTAGGATACTTGGTTTTTTTTTTAAAAAATACTAAAAATTAGTATTTAATTTTTAATTTGTTTGTTTTAGAAGCCATTAAGGCTTGAATGAACTGGACCAGCAAAAACTGAACCTGTTCCAAATTATTAATTTACGTGTAACGAATGAAATAAAAATCATGCATTAAATTTATGTCATTAAACTTAAATATGATGTAATACACAATATTTGTTATTATTATTAATATTTTTTTAATATATGTAATGATAATAAAAATAATAATTTAGTCAAATGAATAAATAAGTATAAATATATAACATTCACCATTTTGTATATTAAAAAATATTGACTAGTAAGAATAAAGGCAATGGTGGATTTAGGAACAAGAAAAATATTGGAAATGTGTGAATTACAAAAATTTCATCGACATGACACATTATAATTATTTTGCTAATCTGTGCAATTTGTATACTGGTATTTAAATTAAAGAAAAAAAACATTTTTTCCCCCCGATAAACAAATAACAATAATTATATTTATTTATATGGTTTATATAAAAATTAAATACGTGATGGACTTGTATCTTATATTATTTGTGTTATTTAAATACCAACGTTTTTACCAGCTTATAATTTATTTTGTCAAACATAAGGCACTTCTTCAAACTTCAAAGTTCAAGTGTATATTTAAAAGTCGACCAGTGTCCGAATTCCAAATAAATAATTTATATTTGAATTCGAAATATGTTTAAAGAGTAAATACTATGGCTACCTAATCAAAATAAATCTATATTTGACAAAATGTTTCCACCGTTTATATAATGATACAAACTATAAATACATACTTCTATTGTGGTCTAAAATATTATGACAATATGTCAGTTTATTATCATAATGAATAACAGTTACGACATTTAATTTTAATTTTTTAGGTGATTTCTCATACCAAATTAAATATAGTAAGTATTTTCTTTTTTATTTTAATAATTAGAAATATAAAATAAAATATGAAAAAATAGATCGCAAATCAATAAATAACCATAAATTCTTAAAATGTTCACCAAATATTTATGTTAACATTATCTTAATATAGTCTATAAATATTGTTGGATATATGGACATTTTCTATAGACGTAGCTATAAGCGTTTACACTCAATTAAAAACATTAATATAAGGAGATTTAATATGAAATCCCTTATAAGTTTTTCAATATAATCGTAATTAAAAATAAGTCGAGTCTACATTTATTTAGTTCACCTGTGTCACTCGCGCCATGTGTACTTCTGACAATTGTATTTTTTTCGTTTCAATACAAAAGTGTTAATAATTTATCAGTTTTTTTTCCATTTTTTGTATCATTAAAATAAGTTATTCTCTACCGTTCCCATAAATGAAATCAAATTCTTAAAACAAGATGAACACTAAAATTCCAAAAATTAAATTATTTTAATAAAATTGAAATCAAAGTTTATTACAGCTAAATAAAACCGTAGACCTCTTCAATCTTTGACCTTCAGGTTAAGATAAGAAGCATATACAATTAATCAATTAGATATGAATAGTAAAAATAATAATCTTGAATCACTAATTAAAATAATTAACCGTCTAAGTTATAATTATAATCAACACAAAAATGCAACACGAATATATCAATGATAACAAAGACCAAATATTCAATAATAATTGACATACAGTAAAATCTCTTCGAGACGAGATAAATGCATACACTCGTCAAGTATAAATAAGTATCTGAAAATTATTTCGTTCGTTTGTTAGCAAACGACAACAAACACGGCATGGAAATAAATAACAGATGAATGCAACGAAAAACTTCAATAATACTATCAATTTTTATCAAATCGGTAATTAATAATTTGTAATTTGTTATAACTTATCTGTAGATAAAAACATAAAAGAAAAACCATATAGAATTGAATTCAGAATTTTCTTGCAAGTGTACGAACAACAAGGTATCTTACACGGCAAACTTTTATAGATCCGTAATTGCATGTTTAAAAAAATAAAAATTTGATTTCTACACCTATCAACTTAAAGAGGAAAATTATTATCGAATGTCGGGTATTTATTAGAAATTTAAACCCAACCATATTAATCGAATAAATCAAAGAAAAAAATATGGCAAAATTAATTTTAAGTTCGAAATATTATAAGCGCACTGCATAGACTTACCAATACAGTACTCTCACTGGCCACTACTTTTGATCGATTTAGAACCCAATCTAAATAACAAAGATATTTTTACACTAAAATCATATACTATACATCAAAGTAGAAACTTCAAAAATACATAAACAAATTCCTCAATGTATTCATTTTCAGTATTATGGTTACACACGTCCCTATTACCACAACAAATCCCGTTGTGTAAGATGTGGTGAGTACCACATTACTGAGTCTCGTGCGAAAAATCCTGAATATGTGTACACCACGGAAACAACCGTACACCCATTAACTGCTGTGGATATAGAATTTTCCAAACGTTACAATAATTAAGAAAACAGAAACATCCTCAACGCCAACACACACAAAAAAAAAAAAAAAAATAATAATAATAATAACTAAAACGATATTACGAGGTAAAACTATTGATAACACTTCTGAAATGGGTAAGAAATCACCTTACATCCACACACAAATGTTATCAAAACTTCAAATCTAATAATATTAATATTTCCAAAAAATTTCAAACTTAATCAAATACAATAGTGTCATAATATTATTATTTACAAACACTCAGAAAACTCAGTGAATTAAATAATATTATATCATTAATAGAAACCCAACACCGTTGTGTAGAATCAGAAATTTGAAATAACGTGTATGTATGATATTATTATTATTATTATTACTGTACGTTTTACAGTTTTGGACCCGGCCAATGTTGGTTTGTACCGGTTCTGGTCACCAGACGTCGCGTCGTCGCGGCGGCGACGGTGGCTTATGTTTTCCCCCCACCGGCCGGTGCAATCCGAAAAGCACCACCGACCGGCACTGTATGATATGCTCGTAGCCGGCTTTCACATTTTGCAGACAGACGCCGGTTATCGAAGCACGCACTAACGCAGCACTACACCTAAGATCGTCGTTATTTTTCGTCGTCGTTTGTTTTACCTTCAAGTGGAGTTCCTCTTCTCAGCGGACATTATATATCAACCTACTGTTTGGTAAATCAATTCTGGTTCGTTAATTTTAAACTGCACAGGGCGTTTTGCGTTATTGACTGGAAGAAAATGGAAAACCGGGCGAGGAGAATGTTCGTTCTGCTGACGATTGTATATGCTTTTGCGTTGCACTCCACTTTGGCAGACGACACGAAAGCCACTACTACCAGCCCCCCTGTAACCGCCAGCCCATCTGGATCCTCTGCACCCACTGACTCGACATCATCGGCCCAGAAGGAACACAACGTCAATACCGAACCGCAAGTTTCGGCGACGACGACGACGACGTCGATAAATAATAATTCTTTGGTAAGTAAACGTAATGATTTCGGAAAAATAAATAAGTACACAAAACAGAATAGAATTATATCATTGAAATTATTGTTTTTATTAGCTACTATAGAATATATCATTATAATATTATATTGAAATGTAGTCGCTTGTAGGTATATCTTATCGTACAAAAAATGTATCTATTGTTTAAAATAGTCGAAGCTGGTGTTTACGATATTTTGTACTTTGATCTTTGGGTTTATACAAACGAGCCTTTTGATAATGCAGTGACTAGTGAGACTCGAGTTCAATAGGAAAGATGCATTTTCTTCATGCGTTTTGTTAATAATATAATAATAACAATAACAATAATGATATCGTAAAACATTACCGAATGTTGTTGGATAATAGTTAAGAATCAATAAAACGGGACCGGTTTTAAATTTTGATAAATCATCTAGAATACATGAAAATAAAACTGTTTCATAAAAGAAATATTTAAACCGAAATTCTAGGATTAATATTAAACTATTTTAGTTGTATTTGGAATTAAAATATTGATTAATATAAATTATATTTTAATCGTTCAAACTTAAAACCATGTGTAATTTTATTGATAAGTTCTAAAACATAAAATTGCTAGGTATTATCCTAATTATTTTAAGTATTTTAATTTTTAACGATAATTCGTAATATCCAACTACCTACTTAAATGTTTCTAGATCGAATTTCTGAATAAATAATAGGTAAATATTTGTATTATTTCCAAATTTTAATACCAAGTTTTTGACCATATGTTTATTCATATGTGTAAACTAACATGGTAAATAATTTATATTGTTTTACATCCCATGTTCCTATAGCAAATGGTTTTTTAAAGTATTAAAAACGACATAGGTAATGGTTTTATAATTCGATATTTTTTAAATGTTTAAATAAATGTATTCATAACTATTTAAACTTCAAGCATGCACATTATATGGTCATCATCTGCAGTTGTAGGAATTTTATACTTCTATAAATATTCGTATTTAATGTTAACACCTTTATATTAAACATGTATACTTGAATGCATTATTACAAATTACAATGGTGTATAATTTAATCTTTTACAGATGTACTGAAATTAACGTTAGTTTATAATATTTTCATATTTTATTTATTATAAGAATAATTTATGTTAAAAATATTTTATTTGTTTGACAAATTTTTACGCATAAGTTTTATCGTTGTACAGAAAATACAAAGCATAATTAGTATTTGCATTATAATTTAAATAACTGAAGTAAGCGGAAGTCGAATTCATATTTTAGTCATTTTATAGTATAATTGCTACAAATTTTTCATTTTTTAGATTTTAACCAACAAAAATCTATTTTAAATATTTCTAAAATATTTAAAGGATTTTATTTTTAATGGTGTTTACATATTAATTGGGAATTTTGGGTTATGTTAAAACATAGCAATGTTTATAACTTTTTTTTCAAACGTTTTAGTAATCTCCCCCCCTCGATGTACATACAATTAATCGTAAAAAATGACAAGATCACAAAACTCAATTCATTTTTATTTCAATGGGTAGGTGCTAAATTTCAATCTTCGTTTTGCATATTAACTATTTTATTTTCATTAAAATTTTATTAAAATCAATAAAATATGCTTGCTCTCAAAAACTGAATTGGTTATTTTTTGTCTCTATCATGTATAATATAACTGTCAACTATCACAGTAATACTTTATAGTTAAAAAGATGTAGTAATTGTTAATTTTCTATAAATGTACAATGTATAATTATCAAAAAATATTTATTTAACTAAAAATTTACTTAAATTTCTCACCAATGTGTCGAATTAATTTATTTATACACATACTTTTTTTTCTATAATAATTAAAATGAGTTCAACTATTATCTATAACGCACGTCGGTCATCATTTTGTTTTAAGTTCCATTGATTAAACATAAAATATGAGATAAATAAATGCCTCTCACATTATTTGTCCTACGTCCTTAGTCATTATTTTTATCTTATTGTTTATGTATACCTCATGTCAATAAATAATATGATTATAAAAAATATACGAAAACCAAATATATACCTTATATTTATAAGTTTTAGGTATACCTATATAATTATTGTATTGAGTTGATCAATTAAACTTTATAGTTATAACATGTTTTCATATCTAAAGTCATTAAATTCTTTACTAAATTTTGTATTAGTTTGGTTTTAAGTAATTATTATTAAAATTTTATAGCAAGATTGACGTATAGTAACCTTTTAGTAATTAAATAATTTATTATCGTATCCATATACACATTAGATTATCAGAGCTTCTATGATCTATTATGTTGAAGTATTTAGATTCATTTAGTTGATGATTCACTGAATGTAAATACACGATAATAAATTATAACACATTTATTTGCACTGTTTATACATTTTTGTTTCACGAATCTGTATCTAATTGATTAAATAATGAACAAAATTCAAAATTCTTATGTTTATTTATCCTAAGTTTATAGTATTCTTCGACATTTTTTTTTGTACTTCCGTATTATTTTACTATTAATGTGTATTTTTAAATAATAGTATCTTCAAAGGTTTTATGATAAATTATTATACTTGTAGGTAGGTGTATTGTATATTACTCTAAAATTAGAAAAATAATGCATAATAAAAATTATTTAACATGTTATAAATACCGTGATAGGAATTTACACATTCTAAAATAAATATAAAGAAAATTTTAATGATGAAACCTATTTTAATATATTGATGATTATACTTTAGCTTATAAAATGCGTTATATTTATCAGGTCGTACTTTTTTTTATCCCAACGTTGTTTTTTTAATTAAATAAAGACGGGTACATTAATACACTTGGAATAGATTAAATATCATATACTGTAGCAGTAGAATTATTTTTATCTTAACATAACAGACCATGTACTCTATTATTTACTTAATATTTTTATCGTGATACTTAATTTTTATGATTAGATGAATAAGCATTACTTATGGAATTTATATTAATGATTAATGAAGTCTATATCTATTTTTTTAGAATATTGTTCTCCAAAAACATTTTGGTTGAAAATCAGAATGTATTTAAAATTATGTTTTAAAATATTAATATAGGTTACCGTTTGGTTATAAAAATTCAATACACTTAAGCACTTTAGAATTAGTTCAACGAGTGTATAATATGAAGTTATGTATAAAATATATATGTACATAGTTTAACAATAAAAATCACTCTAAATTATTTAAATGTTTGAAAATATTTACTGATTTTTGTTGAAATATGTACTTGTGAAATAAGTAAAATTCATCAACTTGATTGATACGATAATAACAGTGTTTAGTAGTATTCAATGAGAATGAGTACACCAGTGTTAAATTTAAAATAAACGCAAATGTACAGGTGTTCAAGAATGACATCGCAGTTGTCATAGGTACTTATAATATTAATACTTGGCAAAATAATCGTTATATGTACGTATTCAATACATATATTGTTTATATATCTGTTTTTAAGCTAAAACCTAGGTAAAAAATCATAATTTGTTGTTACAATTGAACAATATATTATTTTTCTTGTATTTCAAAACCAAAAAAATTGGGTCAGATAAAAATATCAAACTTTGTCAACTCAGTATTTCTTGACAAATATTATATTACCTTATTGATTTTCCTAGTGTTTTCTTTTATATGTGAATATTCTAAAAATTAATAAATTTATTTTCCTATAATATTAATTAGTAGGGTTAGGATTTTTTAGCAAATGCTACTTAGGTGGAAAGTGCAATTGAAAGATAATTCTTACATATAAATACATTTTGAATTATTCTGATTCCAATGAAATTAATTTTCCTTTTTTTTCTGTTTGGTTATTTTTTCTTATCTATTTTTTACATTATTTTCATTACAATTTCGCATACTAATCTATTATATTATTATGTCCAGAAATATATTAAATCTTAATTTATGAATGACTGATAAAATAACTCAAATTTATCGAAATTTTAGTTTTATCAGAATGACATAATTACATTTTTATTTACGAATTAAGGAAAGGGAAAATCGTCTGTCTTATTGTGTATTTTTGTAGCACATTCAAATAATTTAATTAATTAGTAAATGTCAATCAATTTATATAAATAATTTTGAGTAACATTTAATTTAAAATTAAAATTGAATGTCAAAATGTCTAAAAATAGTTAAGTAATTTTCAATGCACAAAAATATATTAGCACCCAATAAGATAAGTTTTAATGAAATTAACTTGAACAAATATATAGTCATAAATTCATTTTTTGATGTTTAATTTAAATTAATTTTTTTTTTTTTTTGAGTAAAATTAAATAAATGCTTTTTTGTTACTTTCCAGTTATTTAAACAAATTTTTTATGGATTTATTTTACTTAAAAATTTGATCCCTATAATAATAAGAAATCTACTTAATTAATATAATATAAAATATCATTATATTTCTTAAATAAACTAGAATTTATATATGTTTCAACGTTTGAACTAATATATTTTAATTTTACATTTTACGAATAGAAATACCTTTTTAATAATTTCATACACATTAGTACATTACTATACACGTAATCAATATCTTTTGTCACCTGTCAACTATAGTGATGACATTTGAAACTCCGTACAAAAGACATCCATACATGCAAAGAACGAATAGTCGTAGGTATGTATATTATATACCCCCATTTATATATATTATTTATTATATACGTATGTAGTAAACATCAACTTTAAATTTAATATAGCATTTTAATTTTATTAGGTCATAAAGTTTTAAAGTAGGTTAGTAAACAATCTAAGAAATAATTTGGTAAACAAGCATAGGTCATAATTGACCATCGTTATTTCCGAAAGAAAACTATCGCACAATTCGTTTCAAAAGTTTTGATATCCAATACTCGTCAATTTTTGACACACTTGTTTATGTAAAGTAATTTCTTTAAAAATCGTTTCCATGAGTACCTTTCTTGGTCAAGGTTATTTTTTATA